CATACCTCAACATGCCGGAAATCAAATTTGCATAACAATGTGTTTGAAGGTTGTCGCCATTTCATTCAACAGCTTTCCACACCAGTGCCACACCACAGACAACGAGAGCATTTGAACCTTTGTTGGGAAATTCACGTGCATTAAATTGCGTTTTTAAGTTGCGTACCATAAATTGCATTTTAGAGTCCCTCAAGTTTGTTCCAAAAACTGCAGTCGCACGAGAGATATCCAGAACATTGATTCTTTCAAAAACGTTTGTCGTTAAATTCATGTTTAAAAATGTTTTGACCTTTGTCACCTATTCCCCCACCAGCATGAATTACAGCACTAATATTTGTTCACTGGGAATCATACAAATGGTGTCACTATGCAATATTTTTGGTGTAACTTTACATTTATAGTATGATTATGCGTCAGCATAGTCTGTGTTAATGCTGGGCAACGACGCTTCAGTCTACTGATCGAAAACATAACATGTGCAATCGAGCTTCAGTCCACTGATCGAAGACATAACATGTGCAATCGAGCTACACCTCCAGTTACGTGCCTCCAAAATAGATCCATTTCGTCATAGCTGCATCATCAAAATCGTGCCTACATTCACCTCAGTCTGTGCCGTTCGTGCGTACACCAAGTATCGCAGCATCTGTGCCCCATCACCCCAAACGCTTGCCTTCCAGTTCCACTCAGGGAGTTGGCTTACACGTCAAAGCCTAACTACCCACTTGCGTGACCTGTTGACTAGAGCTGGGATCCAAAATCCACGTCTGTACACAACCCACAGCTTCAGACGAGGGGCAGCGACAACTGCAGCAGAAGCGAACGTGCCAGATTGGTTAATCAAGACTCTAGGAAGATTGCGAAGCGACGCATACCAAGTGTATATCGACACACCTTCGTCAACGCTACAAGCCGTGCCTCAAATCCTCTGTGGACATTAATCTTAGGCGCCTCCTACTACCTGTGGATTCTCAACCTCACGTGACTCACACCGGCATCTCGTCTGCCACATCCAAGTACTTGCGTTATGCCGTGGTGCTACCTTCGACCATCCAACTTTGTACTCGCTCATTATTATCTCGTTACATTTATTTACATGAACTATATTTCGCTTTAGACATTTACCTTGACATGTTCGTATCATCTATTTCACTTTCACCTCTTGCATTTTATATATCACGATCAACATCACAGTTATGTACTCTAATAAACAACCTATCTAACAGCTTGGTTGAATTGATGATAGGCAAACAATCATGGTAGATAAGACTCGGTTTTCATAGACGCAGGTCGTTTAGATCGGATGGTTACTTTTGTTTCAAGTTCGTTGTTGTTTTGGGTGAATATAGAACATGTTCAAGCCAAAATTGTAGCAATAATGTTCACGTCGCTGTACGTTAAAACACACTCTCTAACTTGACAACATTCACTTACGGACCACTAAGCAAATAGGTGGAAATACCAGTTACATCACTCATGAAGATTGATGATTCAATTGCTGACCGGGATAGCTGCATTTCTATGCAATGTAAAATCATATCGATGCTGTGGACGGCGAAGGCTGATTGTTTTGGTTCTGTAGCCGGCTTTCATGGCACGGGCAACTGACATTTGCTGACTTTTTTTTATTATTATACTAAACAAGCAACATGTTTTCGGCATGGACGTGAAGCTAATGTCGGTTTATAACTAAAATCGGGCACCGTATACTAAGTACGCAAAAAAACGCTCAGTTTTAAGAAGTCACATTATTTCATTACTAGGACGTATTCTGCTGTTAATTTTTATTATTTCCCACTATTTTGCTATAGTATTTTTTAGATTTTAGGCAGAATTTACAGTTTATTCAAAGTTCAAAGTTGCATTGGGATTACGTTGATACAGTGTAACATTGTCGGCGCCGATGATCTCTTACCGATGTGAAGCACAGCCAAAAGAAAAAACATGATCATTTAAACACTGCTATTACAAGACTGGTAAGAGGTAATAAATTTGGGGCGAAAGTATTCCAATAAGTGACGGTACGACCTGCCTGTCAAGTATGAACAAAAGCTAATAAAAATATAGACATAAAAAAAAAAGTAAATTTATGCCCACACTCAAACTAAGTAGAATGATCTATGCCCGTGCTTTTTAATCGAAGTAATGTAGGGTGAGACGCAATTGGCGCAAAGCAATTCAAAAGGTATTCAGTTTTTTTGGTTGTTGCCATGGAAACGGTGGGCCAGAATTTGTTTGGGGTCAAATTTCTCTGTAATGAAAAAATATATCAAAAATTCAAATAGTAACTTTGTGCCCACACTCAAGCTGAGTAGAATGAGCTATGTCTGAGGTGTTTTAATATTCTAAATTTGTAGGGGGAAATACATTTGGCGCGAAGCTATTAAAAAATCAGTTTTTTGGCTGTTGCCCAATGGTGGGCCAAAAAAATTTTTCAGATTTTTCTTAATAACTAGGGTGAAGGTGTGACATACCTGCTACGTTTGAGCGAAATCGGCCAAGCCAAAAAAATCACAGAAGAATTAATACGTGAAAACTGTGGAAATCAGAAACACAGACACGCACACAAAAGTGATTTTAAGGGTAATCCTAGCGATGCGGATCACCAATATGTTATTTAGAGTACTAACAAATTTCCACTTCTGGTCCGATTAGTATTAAAATACACCACGAATATTCACTTTTGAGATTTTTTTGGATATTTCAGCTTCGTCGTCCTGTACTTCATTTAGTAATTCGAACTTCCCAGATTGTGTAAAATCGGAGAGTTTCTCGATTTTTATATTGAAACCGCCTTGGCTTAATTATTTGCTGGGGGATGGCCACTTCGACGCGTGCTCTGCAACAGGCAGCACATGAACCTAAAAACGTTAGGTAATCAAATTCACAAGAAGTTGATAATCCCTAATATTGCTAAATCGCCACTTGTGAACTTTATCTGCATTCCCGTATTAAGTTGCACATTGTCGCTGGATGCAGCAAGAACACTAAATATTACTGATAAATATGACCAATCAGAGGCTGGTACCAGAAAGAGGCGTCAGTTTCAGTGCGTCAACTTTATTACTGTTCGATTACGTTCTTCTTTTTGAGTTTTCACAAGCTCATGAGCTCAAGAGTGTAGTTTTTTGTATTATTCTAAAGTTTAGTCAGTTGACAATAAATGGTGTTAGACCAGTTACATACTACAAGACGTTGCGTTATCCATAAGTCTACAAATTGAACCTGCTCGGCGACGCCTGATAAAATACAACTCAGTCGTCAAGCCACACACATCATTCTAGCAAGGAAAAATATCGATTACTGTTGTGCAGGTTATATAATAAAATATGAGATAATTTATATTTCATTTTTGTTACTATATCTTTATTTATTAAAATATGTACACATTATATCTAATTGGGGTGGGTATTGCCAAGTAAGTTTATAAAATTATAAATAAATATTTCATAAATAACACTGACTGCACTGATTATTAATTTCAATAAACAGTAATCAACTATCCTTTGCGACACCAATAAGATCATAATGGTAATGTTTATTGCTCTTTGAAAGTAGAGGCATTTTCAGAGCATGGGTCTTATTTTGGAACTCCTGCCAGGATGGTATTCCCAGAATAGCGCCAGTTGTTAAAAAAACATAAAACTCAACAAGGATGAAAGGACCAGTTACTGAGAAAGCCCTTCTCCCCACGAAACCCACCAGATACGAAACCCACTCACCGCGAAGCTACTAGTGTGAGAATAAAAAAAATCAGTGTATACTGAACTTATAGTAGCTGAAGTAATGCAAATAAATCAAACACTTGCAATGCCCAGTACACAAGGGGAAGATAATGCATGACTTGTATCAAGGTGATTTAGTGTCATAAATGAAAGTCAATCACACACACTTACTTGCTACTTGGATTTGACATAGTATTTTCATTCAGTGTTATTTACAATTTAGGGGAGAGTACGCAAAATCTAATTTGTGGTGATCCAGATGGACACTCATGTAGAATCAAGAAAAGAAAATATGATCACACAAAGTATTAATTTGAAGTGTTGACATTGGCCACATTTTACGTGACCTCAAATATAATTGAATGAGAACTCTATAAATACGAAAAGCTCCAAAGTAAAAAAAAAAAAAGGTGTGATAGACTTGGTATGGCTTACACTACTTGACAACTAGCTAAATGTTTTTGCATGCACATGAGCCGAGTTAGCTAGTGTATATTAACCAAAGTTTGTACTGGACATGCGCATTACCACAGCAACCATTTTCCTTTATTATATCTGATGGTACTTTAATTGAAAAAACTTGTATACAATATCATACTGTCTTGAATATTTCAACATCGTTGACTTAATGCATTGCTTTACTAATGAATTATGAAAGCTTGTAAACAAAATTGTACTGACTATTTCAACATTACTGGACTGATAATGTGTTGCTTTGGTAATAATTGTACAAACTAATTTATTGTTGTTAGGGTAGTAAGGTTGTGAATATTTCAACATTGCCAACTTGATAATGCGCTGCTTTCATAATAATTATGCAAACTTTAACATAGGTTCATTTTAAACCAAAATAAAAAAATAGTAATCAAGTGTCTATTGAAAGTCATCATTTCAATGGTGAGAAAGATATTTTAATTAAATTCTTGTGATTCATCGATGTTCCAGTGATTTATTTTATTTGAATTAAATGTGATTCAAGCACTGTGAACATTTCAATTTAGACCACCCAGCATGAATGAACATTTAGTAATACCTACCATTGTCAAATCATTATAATACTCACACCATGGTGAGTTTGACTCTCAATCCCAGAATTACTGATAAATACATGCATAAAATACAAGCATATACTATTTTTTCGGGCAACAACAACTAATACACAGCATTGGATTTACAGAACTTTATTCTAATAAAAATACTTGGAAAAGATAATAACGTGATGTTATCTTGAGTTTCCATGCCAGTGTTGATCATGGTCTGATTGATTATTAAAAACAATGACTTGTGGAATGATAAAGAAACTGATAAGTATATATTTCAAAGCTTTCCTGGTGACAGTGCCATGTCGTTTATCGTCCCAGGCCTGTTGGTCCTATGGCCGATTACTGATTGGTCAAGAGCATGTTTTTGATTATGCAAGCCGTGATTAAATAGATGATGTACCATGATTTTCTATGTTTATGAGTAGGTCCCAAACTTGAAGAACACACATTTGCTTTCAAGTGAAATCAGCAAAAATATTGTTTTGCCTTACGGACATAGTGTGACAAAGAACATATATAATTGTATTTTTGGTTCAAAGAAATGCATAAAAAAAAATGTCTTCCTCATGAACTTGGAAGTTTTGTCAATCCTCAAAACACAATCGGGTGTATTTAGACCAATTTAGTTGTTGTTGTGTTATCATTGCTCTACTGTAGGACTAACCATATTGTAGTCATGTTTACATTTCATCATCACCTTCCTCGTATCTTTTTTCTCATCACTACCACATTGCTTCTTCGGTACATAGTTTTTTGAATTTGAATTTAATTATCTAAATATAGTTCTTTGGCTAAAAGTTCAAAATCTTGTTGAAAGTACAGAACAGTTTTGTGAGGTCCAAGTTTGAAGGCTGAATGTGCTTTAATGTGTACTCACTGATATTTTTTCAAGAAAATATTTTGGTATAAATGCCTCATGCAAAATAGCAAGTTGATTTAATAGTTAAAGCATTCATGAGATTCATTGCCCTAAATCCAAGATGGCAGCCAAAGATTGTAACTGATTGTGACTCATGAGAAACTCTGACTGGAAAAATTATTTTATTTTTCTTGTAAGGAACAATGGCCATATTTGCTGCATGCCAAATTTCAAGTTTATTGGTAAAAACACTCCTGAGAAAATCTAAGATGGTGGCAAAATGTGACTGCATGATCAAAAATATCTGTTTTTTGTCTGAAGGATTACTGTTTAAAAATGCAACATGGCAAATTTCAGCCACTTTCGGTTTTGAAGCAATCAATGCAAAAAAACAAAATTCAGATAAATTTGTTCAGTGCTGCTGATAAAAAACATGGTAAAAAAGTCACATGACTGCTAACATTTAATTCGTAAAATAGGTACCGGTAACCCATATATGAATGCATGTAATGCTGCTGCATAAAAATCAGTAAGGGTTCAACATGAACACTTCTGGTTTAGTTTAAATCAAGATGGCTTCCGAAACGGTTGACCAATCAAAATTTGAAAGTACATACGATATGTACACCAGTTCTCATAGTCCTCAATGTGCTTGAGAAGTTTCAGAAGTCAATGGTGTTCAATAAATGGTAGATGAAAAAAAGATGAAAATTTAATACACATGATATTCTCATTAAATATAACAAATTAAAAGGAAATAAGATAAAGAATAATTCCATGAGGGAAGCAATCTGTTCACCATCTATGGAGTCTGTGATGAGTTATATTATTATAATGAGATATTTGTATGCATGACATCACTTTGTGCCATGCACAGGTTATCATATTCTTTTTCACATTTATAAGCAGCTGTGTTATTTCTACATCCACCATACACAATACACAATGCCCGAAGAGGTGTTTTCTACCCCATATGGTGGCCAGCTTTTACATGCAACACTGTCTGTGTGATTTTTGTTATCTTAGCCTAGTAAAAGTAGTGCATTATTGAATGATTAAAACATGCTGTTTGTGCATTCATTGTATTTGGCCAAATAAAAATAGATTTGTTTCTGGTCAATCATGCACACTAAGATTAAAAATAAAATATATTATTATACATCTGTCACCGTAAAGCAATAAGTTACAGCGTGCCATATAAGGAAATGCAAATTCCAAACATGGAGTGATTACGCGCGTAAGTGTCTTCTAATAATAAAAACAAACATGGCTGTCACCAGGGTTTGACCGGACTTCACACAAAGAAGTTCGTTGATTCTGTTCTAAACTTTTTTGATTTTGGCATTCCCATGATGTACCATTGAAAGGAAAAGATGTATAATAATAAGGTTATTACGAAGATACCTCAAAATATGCACTCAAACAGTACACCGTCGAATCGACCTCTGCTGCGCGTCGGTCGATACTCCCACTGTACTGTCTTTGTGCATACTTCGAGGTATCTTCGTAATAACCTCATATTAATTTGGAATTAGTCCAATTAATTTACATCTTTTTTTAGTTACTTAACACATGTTAGCACCATTTGTGGCTTATATGCTTTAAAATGTGTACTGTCTATCTAATCAGGTCTGATGATATCTGGATTTGCTAGAGCTGGACAAGTGTTACATAATGCTGAATACACAGAAAGTGCTCTCAAAGCAGCAAACTTTATCAGGACATACATGTATAATGTTGACACAGGATGTTTATTAAGAAGTAGTTATGTTGATGAAGGAGGCGATGTTTCTCAAATGTAAGTTTAATATCCTACTAAATTGTGTGCTTGTGATAAATGTATGCTCCTACACTGGCCACTGATCAGATATACAATAAGAGATTGTAGCAAGTTATGTCTTGCAAATCAAACACTGGCTCATTGATAACCATAGCACATTTCAAATAATTTCTTTTGCAAGAGAAAAAGCTGACACTTTTTTTTTCAGCTGTCCTCCCATAAATGGTTTTCTGGATGATTATGCTGCTTTGATCCGTGGTTTACTAGATTTATATGAGGCTTGCTATGATGATACATGGTTGGAATGGGCAGAACAACTACAGCAAAAACAGGATGACCTGTTCTGGGATTCAGAAAATGCTGGATACTTCACCGTGGCAGACAATGATCCATCCATTTTACTGCGAATAAAAGAGGGTGAGTAAAAATTGTCAGAAGGCTACCTTAAAGTAAAAATTGTATCATTTTGTAATATAACTCAGTTAGAAATACTATGCAAAAGGCTACCATATTTCCTTGAATGTTAAATTGTAAAGTTTATTAGTAGTTTTGTAGTTTTATAATATTCCACTTCCTGGGTTTGTTGTACAGAGGAGGTAATATAACATTACATCTAGAAGAGTATAGAAAACTCTTCCCTCTTAATTCAAATAAATTGACCTGGAGAATCCCCCAGCAGAATTTGCTATGATGATAGGTCTGTAAAATTAAGATCACAAAAACTAATCCATGTGTTGTCCTGAACCTATGAAAAGTCTGATTCTTATCAGCGCAGAAAGCAGGTATGTATCACCTAAAAAAAGTACCATATGCGAGTAGCAAATAGCAAAATGTGCTGTATGCGAGTGGTAAAAATGGCCTATGCAAGGGGTCAAATGTATTCTTTGCAAGTGGCAAAAACAGTCTTTGCAAGTGGGAAACAGCTGTATGTGAGGAGTACAATGAGTCATTTGTGAGTGGCAAAACATATAGCAAGTATGCTATATGCAAGAAAAATAGCATATGCTAGGGTTATCTTTTGGGAGATGTAAAAATTATTTGTTACATTTGAGTTGAAGATTACGTACAGGGTACAGGACTGCCCTGTGTTCAAAGGCTGGATTTTAGACTAGATTCACCCTACGGATGAAGTCTGTTTTCCTTTGTGTTGCAAGTGTAAATTACCAAGTACATTGTAAATACCTGTGTTTTAACCGTGTCACAGCACACTTGAATATCGATTTTTTATTTTTTATATTCAAGAACGTTCGTCCAATAAGAGGGCGAAAAATCTGGTGTACAATGAGGAGTCCCTCTATCCCTGTCGTGGATAACTCGAATTGAAACAAAGAAACATCTGCCGTTGACTAGGATAGAGGGACTGTGTTTACAGGTAAACAACAGCTCCCTGGCCTCACTACCCTGAGCACTAATCATTTTAAATTGTATAACAGGAACTCATGTAAGTGCGAACCAACAAAAAACACACAAAAACAATGGCTGGCTTCAAAGTAATCTTGTTGGTTGCTCAGTGGTGCCAAGAAGAAAATGAACAGCCATCTAGCTGGTTACCAGGATGTTGTCTTTTGAGGGCACCGCCACCTCTGTTGTTACTTTTTACTAAATCTCAGCAGACAAAAACTTTGCTCTAAACTGTGACATATTTCTACTCACCCCGTCCGAACGTTGACAAATACCAATTGCAAGAAAAATGATCATTATGAATGACAACAGACTTATTGCCAATAAACCCACATTCAGGTAATTTATTGTAACAAATTTGACAAATACCATTGCTCTTTAAAAATTATATACATACATCTCACAACTTTTACAATATATTATCTACCAGTGTGAGTGGGTTTCGTATCGGCTGGCTTTCGCAGGGAGTAGGGCTTTGTCTTTGTAACTGGTCCTTTCATCGTTGTTGAGATTTAAAGTTTTATGTTTCTTTAACAACTGGGGCTATTCTGAGAATACATTTTGTATTTACACTTTATATATACCATAGGCTTCATAGTATCTTTCCTTACTGATTTGACTACACTGTGTACTTGACCCTTTTCTAGTACTGTATTCTCTAGCATAATTATCAGATTATTTGTAAGCATAAAATTGTAATGTGAATTTCGTAGAAGAGTACTCATAATTTTTGAGAAAGTTGGTCATAAATCGCATGACAATGTTCATTGGTCTATTATGTAAAATCATGAGGTTACTGTCCCATGGCACTGTGAAATAGCATTCGTTTGTGTATTCCAGTGATGTATTTTGTGAAACTTGACCTAATATTTTTTCAAAAAAGGCTATTTTTAGAACAATACCATAGAGCACAATGTTAAATACAAATTGAGTTTTTTAGCTCCGCTGTCGACTTTGTCAAGCGGAGCTCATCATATGAGTGATTGTCCGTCGTCGTCGTCCGTCGTCCGTCGTCCGTGTCAATGTTTTACTTTTTCGACTTCTTCTTGAAAACTACAAGCCTGAATGCTTTGATACTTGGTGTATATGTAGTTGGGTAGACCTCTCTCAGATTTGTTCATTTCATGATGATATCTTCAATTCTCTAATTTTGGTGAATATTTTTGTCATTTTGAGTAAAAAGTGATATTTTCGACTTCTTGTTAAAAACCGCAAGTCCAATTGCTTTGACATTACATATATAGGTACTACATGTGGTCCTCTCTCAGATTGTTCATTTTGTGATGATATCTTTAATTCTCTAATTTTTGTGAATATTTTTGTAATTTTTGGTAAAAAGTGATATTTTTGACTTCTTTTTAAAAATCACAAGTCTGATTGCTTTATTACTATACATATTGTTCATTTTTGACTCCCGTGTGCGAAGCACAAAAAGGGAGTCTTTGCAGTTAGTGTGTCTGTATGTGTGTGTGTGCCTGTGTGCCTGTGTGTGTGTGTGTGTGTGTGTGTGTGTGTGTGTGTCCGTCTGCTCCACTGATATCTTGATATCTCAAGAACTATACATCAGATTTGATTAGGTTTTGGTAAAAATCCATGCATATTAATTACCTAATTTGCATGATAATTAGCTGATTTTTAGCTGTTTCATGACTGTTCCACTGATATCTAAAGAACTACTCATTGGATTTTGATGAAACTTGGCACACAGATGCACACAGTTTTGGGTAATTATCTGTGCAATATTAATTACCTAATTTGCATAACGATTAATTAATTTTCGGCTTTTCCATGA